ATTACTAATATCTTAACTTCTTCTGAATCTATATTAGATGAGCTATAACATATAGCAGCTCAAATCAATGAACTTCTTTAAACACTTATTAAAGTAGTATGATAAGAAGTATTCTGATTTCTCTCAGAATTATAAGTAAGAACTGATATCTCAGAATATTCAATCAATAATAATAACACTTTACAATTTCATAAATGATACTAAGTCTCTTACTTTGAACTCTTACACACCTGAATAATACAAGAGATGCATGATTCATATATAACTGATTATTCAGACTGTGAATAACTGTATAGAATAATCTTCTAAGAATTCTATTAATCTAAGATATTAAACAGTATCAGACACTTCATCTGAAACTATAATTACTGTTCTTCTATTATCTTATGAAAGAACTGTAGAAAAGATCTACTGAAATCACTTAATATTTCTGATAGAATCTGATAAGATATGATAATTAACTTCACTATTAATCTATCTGAGAGTAAGAGTTATAGAAATATTCTGATTATTGTGAATTGATTAAGTAAAGATATAATATTAAAATCTTGTAATAAGATAAATACTGAATAAGTCACTGAAGTCTTTCTACAGAGCTCATTCTATCAGATATATAAATTACTGAGATTCATAGTATCAGATCAGAGCTGTCAATTCATGAGCACTCTCTGAATTAAAATCTGTCAAGTTCTCAAGATTATATACTGTCTATTAACTGTCTATCATTCTGAGACTGATGATACATCAGAATGAATAATTCAGACTGTAAAGAATTATCTTTATAAGTTCTGTAATTACTTATAAGATGATTGATATAATCTTCTTCTACATTCAGAGATTACTATTAATAATCAAGATACTATTTCAACAGATATAAGCCTGTTCTTTCTTATATACAGATATTATATGAAAGTGTTGAATCTTCTAGAGACTACACAGTTCACACTGAATCTCTGTAGTTCAATTCAGATCACTGATAATATAGTAATAAAGCTCTGAAATACTTATAATTAAACAGAGATTTTCATAATAACTGTAAAATAAGATTAAGAGAATCAAATCAATGTTCACTAAGATCTCACTGAATAATATAAGATAGAAGATCTGATATAATTAAATCTTAAGAATATATAAATCACACATTCATTCTGTACACTAGATTATTATCATGTCAGATATAAAGTAATAGAAGTTCTAGATAGTTATAACTACTGTCTTGATATATCATCAGAGATTTATAATATATTTCATACAAGTTTACTCTGCTGTGCTATCACTGATCTGTTCTCTTCTTAACTGACTTCTGACTGACAACTGCCAGAGATCATAGAAGAAGATAATGAACTTGAGTATAGACTGATCATCAGAATCATAAATTTCACATTTGATTTCATTTGATCTGATCTCATACATTTCTTGGCGTGAATCCTGCTGAGACTGGCTATCAAAAAAACATGTAAAGTGACTATATATCAGATCTTAAAATGAAACCATGACTTGAAAAAAATGAGAAAGTGATTTCATTTGATCTCATTTAGTCTCATTCTTAGCATAAAGTTACTATTTTTATACATTTTAAGGTCTTTTTTAGACTATTTTTAATTTTTTAAAAAGTAACACTTTTTGATAACACTCAAATAAGATTTAAAGTCATTTAAAGCAATAAAAATAATTTAAATTGAGAAGTGAAAATCATGATCTCATTTGAAAAATGTGATAAGAGTAGACAGTAAGTCTCACTGAAACAGTATAAGACTACTATCTAATGATAAAACTGTGTAATGAAATCAGTCAAATTGATAATAAGACTATTAAAAAATCTGGTTCTGGTCTCAGACATGATCACACGGTCAGTCTACTTAAGTGAGAGATTGAAGAAATTCTTGATAAGAGATCACATAGTTATAGTTAATAATATCTTATGAAATGAGTCAGCTATGATTAATTAACCTGAACTCTGAGTTCTGTGTTATTTAAAATAGCAGTTCTTGACTGATGAGAACTGCTTCTGAAAAGAAGAGATTAATATAACAGGCTGCATCTGATCAATTATATAGACTATTCTGTTACACTTCACAGATTTCATGTATACTCTGATTCTCAGTCATTCTTGATTGCTGATCCTCAGCTGCTATGAATGCATATGCTCTGATTCTCAGCCATTCTTGATTGTGAATTCTCAGCTGCTATAAATGTGTGTATATTCTTTCACTCTGAAGCTTCACCACATACATGTATAAATATTCATCTCAATCACTGATTCTCACACTTTCTCTTTTCTTTCTTCTTTAATATTTTTATCTTTGTTATATAAGATCTATCAATATTATACTGATCTATTCAGTGTAGACTTCTTACACTCATTCTGCAATGCAAATGAAAATTCTGAGTATATTATAATATATTGTGCATTATATAATAGTCTCAGAGTCAGATTGAAAGAGAAGTATGATTTAAATCAATTAAATATAAGATTCTTATTCTCAACTGAGATAGAAATTAAGTATCTAATAGACTTTCTATCAGAAACTCAAGCAGTTATAAGAAAACAGCTGAATTCAGAAGTATCTGAATATGAAGAGGTGAAAATTGATTTAATATAGTCTGTTAAAACAGCTATACACTATCTTTTAATAATTTTGATTTGTTATAGTCTCTCTTTACTTTACTTTTTCTTTTTTTTTTTTTTTTTTTTTTTTATTCTTTTCTATCTATCTATTTAATATGTCTATCTTTAAGACTGTGTTCTCTTTTCTTTTGTCATTATATTATCAAATGATTTCTCAGGTAGATATTATAGTCTCTGACTGCATATATCTATAATTGAAGAATAATAATAATAATTGTCAAGTATTACTGGCATGCCGCGGAGCAGCTCTATAAATATAAAAATGCAAGTGTCTTGTTTTAAGTGAATTATTAAGTTCACAAATTGTTTTCTGAATTAATCATATATATTTATATGATCTATTCCATATATAATTTTAATGTATAATATTTAATCTAAAAATCTTATTGCTTTAATATTGTTAAATATAGTGGTCTATAGTACTCCGTAGTGTAGTGAGGATCTCAGCGATCTCGGATTGAAACAACCTTTCGCCGGGCTTCCCTGCATATATATATCTGGCCTCCGCCACATCCCTCAAGTGTTCAAATTCTTAGTGATGATTCTTGTATGTGGTGTTTCCTACGTGTTCAATTTCTTGTGTGTGTGTGTGTGTGTGTGTATGTCTATTCTTGTTGTGATTCTTATTCTTGTGATTATTATTATTGTGTTACTTTTATTTTGAACTTCCATGATGAATGAATGATGAATAATAATGATGATGAGAAGAGATAAGGTGAAAAATTATGATGATTTGAAGAAGTAGGTCTAGAGTGAAGTATGAATAACAAAAATGACATAGTTACATAGTTGACATCAAGACTTCAATGTTTTGCATTCTTGCGTAGACATAGTCATCATAGTCATCATAGCCACAGGCCCTGGCTCGAATGGCCGAATGGTCCTGTTTTGAAGCTGCAACAAGTTATACCAGCGTAGATGGAGAGACGAGACGCATTAAGAATTTTTCCCCCAACCAGCAGGATGTTTTCAGCCAAGTAAGAATATGATATGAGGAGAAGGGTTGCAAATTATGTGTTTGTTTCAAAAGTACTCCGTAAAGGAAAAGGAAAGAGAAAAAAAAATCTTTTGAAACCAGAAAATTTTGTTCAAGAATGAGCCCGCGGCCATGGCAGAGAGATACACATGGGGGTGTTTCGAAACAGGGATATCAAACCGTGAGTTAGCTTTCATTGAAGAGGCATGGCATGGGTATATATATGAATAGTATGTTCGAGAGACGGGTATAACATGTTTAAAGAACGAGCTGGATGGGATCAATGGCATGAGGTCGGAGCAGTGTCATAGCTCTTAAGGGAATAATCCGTATCAAGACTGGAGATTCAGCTTATTACTTAGGATATGGAGCGGGATGGTTGCAAGTTAACAATGTAGCGGATGTTGCAGTCTAGTACATACAAGTCATGGTTGGGCTAGAGCAAGAGTCAACCAGGCGCCGCGCTCGATATAAATACACAAAAGAGGATGAATGGATGAATGAATGAATGAATGAGGCAATGGGGATTTGGCAAAAACTATCAAAATAAAAACATGGTTGAGTGCTGAGGAATTGAAACTTCGGGTGTAGTTAAATAGTCCAATTTTGTTTCATCTCAACATGGCAACAAGAGCAGCTCTCTTCTGAGAGAAGTGCGCAGGGTCAAGTTGTCTAACCAACTAAAAACTAACTGCCTGGAGGTACATACAAGCAGAAGCATCACTACGATGGTGAGTTAGATTAAAGGGCGTGCAGAAGAGAGGCAGCTAGCAGGGTGACTGTTTAGTGTACTTGAACTTGACACGAGCATTATTACATGTGGGACTAACATGAAGAAATATCTCTGGGGGGGGGGCAGAGAGAGAGAGAGAAATGTACCAACTGTAACAGTAGCACACAGCTAGCAAACTGGGGAAGAATAAAGAACAGGGGAATATTTATGGCAAAGAAAGAAAGAAAGAGAGAAAGAGAGAAAGAGAGAGAGCGCGCATTGATGAAAGGTGGCGGAGAACATTGAAAGAGTAATTATTAGAATACGAGATATTCAGAAATCAAAATATATATAAGATGGAAAAATGGAAATTCAAATTAAATACAGTTAAATGTTCTTGATGTGTTGTGTAACCAATATATTATATTATATTTTATTTTATATTTGCAGGCTGATTATCATTGCCACTGCTTGGATATTAGAAGACAAAGAGGAAAACAGAAACAATTTATTGTGATCAAATTCAAAACACCTTTCAGCATTTTTCTGCCCGCCGCGGACGTTCGGCAAGCCCAAGCAGCCTTTTTTATGATGCTTAGCCCCAGGGCCAACGAAAGACTTTTTTTTTGGTTTTTTTTTTGGTTTTTTTTTTTTTTTTTTCTTTTTTTTTTTTTTTTTGCTGCGTCCACCCTTCACTACTCTCGGCTTAAATTTCAATTTCGTTGGAGCCGTGTGTTTTTTTCTCTCTCTCTCCTCTTGTCCTCTTCTCCTTGTTCAACCCGCAATCCTCCTCTTTTGCCTGCCCTTGCTTGGCATTTCCCCCCTCACACTTCCCCCTCCCCCAAAATTCTTCACTTTTCTTCCCCATTTTATATTATATTATATTTTATTTCTTTATTTGATTCCCTAAAAAAATTAAAAGAAAAAAAGAAAAACCAAGCCCGTCTTCTTTTCCGTCCTATGTCTTTCAGTGTGCTAAACTCGCTATTGTCGCTGCTGTGGGCAATATAACTATAGTGTGTGTGTGTGTGTGTGTGTGTGTGTGTATATGTGAAGGTTTCGTCCTTTTTGCCTGTTGTCCCGAATCTCTCCACCAAACGAATTAGTTCCATTTTTCTTTTTTTTTTTCAACTTTTTTCCCTTTTTTTCTTCCTCTCAACTTGACAACATCCCGCACTCCTTCAGCTCTCCAACCTCCAACACAACCCCCTCCCTCCCTCCCCCAGGCAACAGCAACTTCATCAGCGACAGGCTTGCACCTCCAACTAGTCAGATAGCCGCTCAATTCGCCATCTGTCTTGTCTCAACGTCGTTGCGTGGCTGCAAGCTCGTCCTCGATTTCGCCCTCACGCACTTCAATCCTCCTCGTCTGTCTGGACGTCGTCGCTTGTCGTCGCGTGGGACTCCCTCTTCTTGGTGGGCTGGCTGGCTCTTGGTGACCAAAGGGGACAAAACAAATAAAAATAAAAATAAAAATAAAAATAAAAATAAAAAAGAATAAAAAAAAATAAAAAAAACAAACCAGAGAGGCCTTCTTCCCCTTCAATCGCGCTTCCTTTCGGGGCGTTTCACCAAAAAAAGGAGATCGTCCGGACAAAGCCCACAGCGCTTTTTTTTCTTCGGGATACTCATCACAACACAAACCATTTCGACCCTCCATCCTTCCCTGTCTTTACGGGTGTCCTGTGTTGCTGTTTATCAAAAAAGTACGTGTGTTTCGGTTGTTGCGATCGCACTCTCTATCCTATCCATCGCCTCTCCTCCAACATCCACACACCAAAAAAAAAAAAAAAGAAAAAGAAAAGAAAAAGAAAAAAAAAAAAAAAAAATAATCTTCCTTATCTCCCTGGTTTGCCGTCTTGCCCACTCCTTTGCCCTGTCCCTCCGGCAATTCCAGTTCACTCTCCCCTTTCTGTTCTTCTTGGACAAGCTCTTCGGGCTTATTGCGGAGGACCTGCACACGCTTATCTATTCTACGTCTCGCTGCTTCGGAGATTCTTCGACAGTTTTTCCCTAGTTTAAGGCTTTTCCAGCCTGAATCAACCGCAAACTCCAACTGTTCGCTAATGTAAAACCCCCCTTCAGGTCTCTCTTTCGCTGTGAATCCTCGGTTTTCGAAAATATCCTTTCCCCAAGATCTCCTTCCCGCCAGTGCCTCATCCATCTAGTGAACACGGTTTTTCCCCCTCCGCGATAGATAGTCGACAGGCTCTTGACGTTCCTGGGTTTTGAGACAACAGTTGTTGGTGGGGCAGCCAGAGGGTGGAGGTTGTCCGTTTCCGCCAGACCGGCAGTTGGAGTCGTTTAACAAGTTGCTGGACTCGTCCAGCACATAAAACCCTTTCAGTTCCATCTATCTAGACATAGAACCCGTGCCATCTCGCAACGTCGATTTGTTGTGGCAAAATACTGATAATTTTTTGCATTCCACCATGTCAACCTCAACTAGCAGACCTGGGCTAGAGATGCCCGCGTTTTCCTACGCCCAAGCCGCTAAGGGATTTTCTACGCCTCCAAGCGTGCAAATCGTTGCTGAGAAGCAAAACAAGTCCAGCACAACATCGTCAGACCCGAGCAGCCATAGGACAGCTACTGGATCGGTGGATGGGGATGGGTCAAACCGAACTGTCGCCTCTTCGACGGACTTGGAATCATCGTCAGTTGCCACGGAACCCGCTGATGCCACCGACAAATCGCAATCATCTTCTGAGCGCTCCTCAGATTGGACAGTCACCCCACCTGCTGCTGGTGCGCCATGGAAGACTGCTACTTCCGGAACTTCGTCTCCAAGCGTGGGAACTACATCTACTACAACGCTGCCTAAAGAAGACGATACCTCTGGAACTCCAAATGGCATACCCGACTCTAGCTGGGACAAGCAGTCGCAAGTTTCAGGAACCGTCGAAAAGTCGAGCGAAAGTGGAGAATCGGGCAAGGAAAAATTGAAGGAAAACGGTTGGGAGAAGGATGTTCCTGTTCTAAAAGAATTGAAGGCTGCGCCCATCCCCGCAGTAAATGTCTGGCAACAAAGGAGAGAAGCACAAGAGGCAAAGGCCAAGGCTAGTGCTGCCTTGAAATCGACAACGACGGCTGCTGCCAAGCCTTTCAACTCGAAGTCGTCCGTTCCTAGCGAAAACCGTGCGGAAGGTTCAAAGGGTGGCCCCAGAAAGAAGGCTGGCGGTTCTGAAGTCGCGGCAGATGCGGCAATAGCCAAGAAAAAATCGAGCGAAAGCGGTAAGAGCAAGGAAGAAGGTAAGGATTAATTTCTCCCCCTCCCCAAGCTTTAATCTTCTGACACTACGATAGGTTCCAGGAAACCTGGCGTTCGTTCAAGTATATCAACAAATATTGACATTGAAACAGCAGAGACCCTCCCTCCAGTTGGCGATGCATCTTCGTGGCCCACCCCTCAGCTGGCACAAGGCGAAGAATTCCGCAAGGCCCAAGAAAAGAGCGACAAGACGGAGAAGTCCGAGAAGGAAAAGGCTCCTACCGCCGGATCGCGCGGGAAGGAGAAATGGATGCCCGTCCCCTATGTTCCGACGGCTGTTTTTAATACTCCTCTCCCCCCGGCTGCACGAAGAGGTGGAAGACCCTCTAGAGGCGGAAGAGAGGGAGGTATGCGCAGTGGCGCCCATCCTTCTGCTGCCATATCCAGTAGTGACCGAAGCGTCCCTGCATCCGCTTCAGCCGCTGGCGGGTCAAAACAGACTGGTTCCAGTGATAGGGGTCGCAGTGGTACACGTGTTGACTCGGACCAATCTGGCACCACTCAACCCGCAAGAACGGGTAGCGTAAATGCGCCATTGTCGCCAGACGAAAAGAAAGCACCACATGACAGCCGACCGGATAGAGCTAGTAGCGACTCAAAAAGTGTAAAGGCTCCAGAGGAGCCTCGGGGAACAACCGGTGGTGAAACTCAAACCAATCATCCCGCTGCTGAAACAGGCCCACGCCAGCGACAGAACTCGAAGAGCTTTGGTAGGAGCCACGACTATTCCAACGTGACATCCCAGCGAGGCACTGAACATACGGGAAGACATGCCGGTGTCCAAGGAGACTCTCATGCTGGCACACGCTTTAGCTCAGGCCACGAGCGCCGTTTTGACAACGGCCCAAGGTCTGCAGAATTTTACAAGGAGCCTCCTTTCCACCCCAGGGATAGGGAACTCTCGAACCAGCGAGAAAGAGAGTACCCACGGGAACGTAACGACTTCCATCGCGATCGTGAGTATGGTAGAGAGCGTGGAGAATCTCGGCCCGAGAGAGGCCGTGGGGGCTATAGGGGCCGAGGTGGACATTCAAACTATAGCGGTGCTCATAACTCCCAATACCATAGCCCCCCAGTTGGACAATCCCAGTTCCAAAGCACAAAACCGTTCTCACTTAGTGAACGTCACCGATCTCATCATCAGGCATCTCAGAATGGAGGCCAGCAACATGGTTCTAACCGGGGTCTCAATATGAGATCACCATCCCTTCCATCCTCAGGGGTCTATGGCCCTACACCCTATCCAATCCAAACCGACCTCAATGCGATGTATGGTTATCCCGTGCTACATCAAGGCCCAATGACTGCGATTCCATATCATCCGTATATGGAGCACTCTCTAATGAGCATGATTTCAATGCAGCTGTAAGGCCCCAGCCCAACCGCACCCCCCAAATCACTCTTGAGCGTAGTTCAACTAATGAATTTCCAGGGAGTATTATTTCTCGGTTGACAATCTTTGCAAAGACTTGTTCTTGCGGAAACACATGGATTCACAGGGTTTTGTTCTATTAAGTTTTATCGCTGGTTTCAAGCGGATTAAGAGCCTCACCGAAGATATGGATTTCCTTCGTCTTGTCTGCCGCCAACTGAAAAGTGTGGAGTATAGACCCGGGGAAGATGGAAATGATCGCCTTCGCAAACGGGAGAAATGGGAACAGTGGATCCTCGCAATGGAAAATCGCGATCCTTCCGCCCAAAATGAAGGCCCTCCCCCACTTTCTTTGTCAACTCCAGCTCACGATGGGAACAGTGATGGTTTGAACTCGAGTCACCTAGAGACCACCGCGCTATATGGCAATGGGTCACTGCACGAAATCTCTGGAAACGCGATCCCTTCCCATTATTCGTTGTCGAACGGTGCCACTTCTGATACCCGCGTGCATCAGTCCGTATTATCGTCCGCTGCCCCCGAGTTCTCGCCAGCTTATGTGCCGGTAACGGGGCAAAATGAAAATGCGAATGTAGGAAAACCCATTAAAGATGAGAGTACCTTCCCAGATGAACAGATTGAGAACTTGGTGATTGTGGTGCGTAAGCCAGGAATTTCCAGCCCAGCGCAGTCACCTTTTCTCATTCCTTCGTCTTGTTCTTTCTCCAGCGGTTCTGTTGACGGTTACAAAGCAGCGGGTGGGACAGTGAGCACAGAAAAACGACCATCTCTATCGACGCGTACGGCCCAAATAAATATTACAAGGTAGGTCCTTCAATCCAATCCCTGAGCCAGTGAGGGAAGTATTTTGACGACTGTTTTACTCACACGTTAAATAGCGTAGCTGACGGGCAGCGCCGTGGAAGATCGCCCCCGTCGTCCATGTCTAAGAATTCCGAAACAGCGGCTATCGCCAACACGCCCACATTCTGGGTCAAAGACAGAGATACCCCGATTGAATCCCTCCCTACAGACCTTCTTCACGAATCCTATAACGTATTTCGCAAAAAAACCCTTGATAAACGATCGTCTGGCATAACGAGTGATGGGAACCTGGATATGGACGTTCTTTATCAATTCTGGTCTCATTTCTTGGTCCGCAATTTCAATTCAAAAATGTACAATGAATTCAGGAGTCTGGCGTTTGATGATTTGCATTTGAACAATTCTACCACTGGCCTCAACAGCATCATCAAGTTTTATGATGGCGTTCTTGCGAGCAATAGACCTATGCCTGACACGGTCTCGCGGGACCTGGTCCAGCTGGTGGAGTCTGAACTGGAGGCAGCGAAAAAGGAAAAGCCCACGTTTCAGAAGCTGCGCTGTGCATGGCGGAATGGTGCGTTCAATTTTAAGAACAGGAAACGGATTGATCGTATCATCAGTGAACGCTTGAGAGCGGAGCTGGATAAATGATTTCAAGTCATTTCTTTGATTTTTTCTATGTGATTTTCTTTTTTTTCCCTTTTTTTTAACAAAAGAAAATTCTTCTGGTTTTGTGTGTTTTTTTTTCTTCCTTTTTATTTTACCTGCGCTTATTGACATGTCCTTTATTGCTCTTCCCGTCTTTTATTAACATGTTCCTGTGTTTGTCTCATTTTGTTGATTTCATCAATGAATCCTTTTTTTTTTCTTTGTTTTTTCCCCTGATTCCCCCTACTTCTTCCCCCATGGGAACAGCCAAATCGACAAAATCACATTTACTTTCCCCTCATGATCAGCTGTCATCTCTAGCGATCCCGCTAGATTTTATATTATCTAGTCCCGTTCTTCCCCTCCGTTTTACTACGCTTTTACGTCTACCTTTTATTTTAGTGTCATGGACCTCGCCGATGTGTGTTTTTCCCCCTTGAGGTTTTCTTACCTAATTTTTTACTATTTCGAATGTGACTTTTGAAACATTCATTTCATCTCTAATGATTATAGATTTGTTCCCTGCCATGTTTTTTCCTGCATTGCATTTTATGTTAATTGTTTTTGTAATATTTTTTTCATAAAAAGTGTTTCTCCTATTTTTTTCTCTCTTTTATTCTTTTTCTTCATATTTTGTGAATCTAGCACAATGATCAGTCTAAGATGGGCTTGTAAAATGGAAAAAAAAAAAAAAAAAAAAAAAAAAAAAAAAAAAAAAAGTATAAATGAAAGTAGCTGAGTTAAAATAGAAAAGAGAGTAAAACTTCAGAAAATCTATGTTATACTTGTGTTTTTATTCATTATGAGATAGTGTGTGATCAATCACTTAATATCTACTTGTATAGACTGACTATGTAACTGTGTCTGAGATTAGTATTAGAATTTTTAATAGTTCTATTATTAATTCAAGTAATCTTATTACATAGTTTTAACATTAGATAGTAGTTTTATACTGTTTCAGTGAGACTTACTATCTACTCTTATTATATTTTTCAAATAAGACTATGATTTTCACTTATTAATTTAAATTATTTTTACTGCTTTAAATGACTTTAAATCTTATTTAAGTATTATCAAAAAGTGTTACTTTTTAAAAAATTAAAAATAGTCTAAAAAAAACCTTAAAATGTCTAAAAATAGTAACTTTATATTAAGAATGAGACTAAATAAAATTAAATGAAATTACTTTCTTATTTTTTTCAAGTTATAATTTTATTTTAAGATCTTATATATAGTTACTTTGTATACTTTTTTAATGATTAATCTCAGTGAGATTCATATTGAGAAATGTATAAAATCAGATTAAATGAAATTAAATGTAAAATTTATAATCTCAGTAGTCAGTCTATACTTACACTTAATATCTATTATTTTACTATTACTATGATGAAATATTTTCAATAATATCTTAATAATAAAATTAGATTTTAAAGTGATATATTATATAATAAAAATATATATAGAAAATTATATATAAAAATATACAGTTAATTCTGTAAATATTTATTTAACTTAATAACTGTAACAGGTCTACACTGAATAGATCAGTATAATATTGATAAGTCTTATATAATAAAGAGAAAAACATTAGAGAAGAAAAGAAAGAGAAAGTGTGAAAATCAGCAATCAGAGTAAATATTTATATATGTACATAGTAATGTACATAGTAAGGCTTCAGAGTGAAAGAATCTATACACATTTATAACAGCTAAGAATCAGCAATCAAGAATGACTGAGAATCAGAGTATATATATTCAAGAATGAAGTGATTGAAATCTGTGAAGTGTAACAGAATAGTCTATATAATTAATCAGACACAGTCTATTATATTAGTTTCTCTCTTTCAGAAGCAGTTCTTATCAGTCAAGAGCTGCTGTTTCAGATAACACAGAACTCAGAGTTTAGATTAGTTAATTATAGCTGACTCATTTCATAAAATATTATCAGTTATAACTGTGTGATCTCTTATTAAGAATATCTTCAATCTCTTATTCAAGCTCATTATGTTCTTCTATAATCTCTGGCAGCTGTCAGTCAGAAGTTAGTTAAGAAGAGAATAGATTAGTAATAGTACAGTGAAGCAAGCTTGTATAAAAGATATTATAAATTTCTGATAATGTATTAAAATAGTAGTTATAACTATCTAGAACTTCTATCACTTTATATCTAATATAGCAGTAATCTAGTATATAAGATGAATATGTGATTTGTATATTCTTAAGATTCAATTATATCAGATCTTCTATCTTATATTATTCAGCAGAGTTTTAATGAATATTAATTCAATTTTCTTAATTCTGTTTAGTACTTGCTATGAAGACTTCTGCTTAATTATAAGTATCTCAGAGTTTTATTACTATATTATCAGCAATCTGAATCAGACTGTGAAAATTCAGTGTGAATTGTATAATCTCTAGAAGATCTAACATCTTCATATAATAACTATATATAAGAAAGAATGAGCTTATATCTGTTAAAACAGTATCTTAATCATTGATAGTGATCTCTGTATATAGAAGAAGATTATATCAGTTATTTTATAAGTGATTACAGAACTTATAAAAATAATTCTTTATAATTTAAATTATCTGTTCTGATGTATCATAAGTCTCAGAATGATAGATAGTTAACAGATAGTATATAATTTTGAAAACTTGATAGATTCTTATTCAGAGAGTGCTCATGAATTAACAACTCTGATCTGATACTATAGATCTCAGTAACTTATATATCTAATAGAATGAGCTTGTTAAAAAAGCTTCAGTAACTTGTTCAGTATTTATCTTATTACAGAGTTTCAATATAATATTCTTACTTAATCAGTTCACAATAATCAGAACATTTCTATAGCTCTTACTCTCAGAGAGATTAATAGCAAAGTTAATTATCACATCTTATCAAATTCTATCAGAGATATTAAGTGATTTCAGCAGGTCTTTTCTACAGTTCTTTTACAAGATAATGAAGAAATAATAGTTACAGTTTCAGATAAAATGTCTGATACTGTTTAATATCTCAGATCAGTAGAACTTCTGAGAGATTATTTAATACAGTTATTCATAATCTGAATAACTGATTATATACAAATCATATATCTCTTGTATTATTCAAGTGTGTAAGAGTTCAGAGTGAGAAACTTAACATTATTTACAGAACTGTAGAGTATTATTATCATTGATTAAGTATTCTGAGATGTCAGTTCTTATATGTAGTTCTGAGAGAAATCAGAGTACTTCTTGATATACTGCTTTAGTGAGTACTTGAAGAAGTTCATCAGTTTAAGCTATTACATGTTATAATTCATTCAGTGTAGATTCAGAAGAAGTCAAGATATCAGTATCAGTATCTATTCTAATTGAAGAAGTATGTATAGTGTTATGAGTTGTTTCATCTTGATCAACTAATATCTTCAGATTTAGAAGCTGATATTCTCAGTTTATTCAACAGATGTCTGTTATATTGAAAGCTATATCTTACTCTCATTGTGAGAGAGTATCTGTTATCAAGTTCTGACTACTGAGATAGTAGTATATTGTAAAATGAAAGTAGCTTAAGAACTCAGATCATTATATCTATTATTCAGTGAGTTTACAGATTATTATAAAGTATTTGAGATTCTTATAATTTATAATTATCTCAAATTCAGAGATACTTCAGAGTTCAGAGTCTTATTCTTCTAGACAGTATATAATCATGAGAAGTTTCTTGTTATAGATCTCATAATTGCATTCAACAGAACTTAGTTTCTTAGATATAAAGACATATAATTGTAGAATATCTTTATCATCATATTACAATATTACTTCTTCTATCACATAGTCAGAGAAATCAGCTTCAACAACTGTCTTATAATCAGAGTTAAATATTATTAGTAGAGAGATATTAATAAATATCTTCTTCATTCATATAAATGCAGCTTCAGTATCTACTGATCACTGAAATACTGAGTTCTTCTTAATAAGTTCTGTAAGTGATCTCACAATATCTGAGAAGTTTTATATAAATTACTGATAGAAGTTAGTAAATCTGATGAAGCTTCATACATCTTTCACAGTATACAGAGCTTCTCATTCAAGAATAATAGAGACTTTCTCAGAATTTATTTAAATTCTCTTACCAGCTTCTATAATAAAACTCAGATATCTGATACTCTTGACTTTAAAATCATACTTATTAATATCTATCAGTAGTTCTGCTTCTTATAGTTATTATAATATCTTCTGTACATGTTCTTGATATTCTTTCCTGAACTTATCAGTGAAGATGAGAATGTCATCAAGATATACAGATGTAAATTTGTTAAGAAAATCTCAGAGTGCTCAGTTGATATACTTCTGAAATGTACTGAGAGTATTAGTCAGTTCAAAAGAGATAACTATTCATTCAAAGAGATTATATTATATGCAGAATACTGTAAGTCACTCATCTTCTTCAGTGATACAGATTTTATGAAATACAGTAATAATATCTAGTTTTATAAATTATTGAGCTTGTTCAATATGAGCTAGAGTTTTATTAATGAGAGATAGTAAATAGCAGTCTTTCTTTGTTATTCTGTTCAGTTCTTGATAGTTCATACAGAATCAGAGTTTCTTATCTGATTTCTTTGTAAAGAGAATAGAGACTGCAGTGAAAGAATTACTAACATATATAAATTCTTTATTTAATAGATTATTAAGTATCTTTCAAAGAAGAAGAAGTTCATCTCAGAACATGTTATAAAGAAGATCTAATAATAGTTCAGAATTCTTATCATTCTTCTTCTCTAACTTAATACTGTGATTCACTTCAGAATCTTATAAGAGAAGTATGTTTATAATATTATCTTATCAGAAGATATCTAGATATTTATGATATTATTGAGAGAGTTTTATACAAGAATCTATTATTATAATGCAGAATAACTTTTCTAGAGTCTTTTTAATATCAGTCAGACTGATGAAATAGATTGATATCTAGTTCTGCTATCAGTGATTCTTTCAGTGACTTCTTTTTCAGAGTATTTCATAGATGTTGACAGAGATCTGTGTCAGATTCATAGTCTTGTGAATATCATTCTCATGAACTCTATTATTGTTAGAGAATATTAAACTTCTGTTTTAAGCATTTAATAAGATATCTTATTCAGATAGTCAGATAAGTTCTAATATAAGATTATAATCAAGATTATTAACTTCATATACATAGACATTCTTACACTGATATTTTTTAATATCTATGTTTAGTTTTATCATGTAACAGATGTAAACATCTTTAGAATTATCAAATTCTGTAAGAAGTTAAGATTTTAATAAGAGAATACACTGAAGATTATAATATCTTACAACTGAAGATTTAATTATTGCATAGTAATATAGATCACTGTCTATCATAGCTTTTATATTATATATGTTATTAATCACAGTAGATATAAAAATCACATTCATTGTCATTTTCTCTTTAAATTATTGTCATCTGACCTCTTCAAGCTTCTGTTTATAAATTTGAATAGAAGCTAATCTTTTCCCTGTTTTATCAGAGTATTCTTATAGTTATCTTCTGAATCTTTCTTCACTGCAATGTGATTAACACAGACACACACTGATTCATTCTTCAAGTGAGAAGATATATAGACTTATCAGCAGTTGAAAGCAATATGTTCTGATTGATTACAGTTGATACACACTTCATATTAACATTAATCAGTGACTTCTTCAGAAGTGATTTCAGAAACTCAGAAGCCTGTTCAGATGACAGAGACTCTTACTTATGTATAGGCATTCAAGTCTACTCAATTCATAGCATCTGTATCATTGCTGTTACTTCTCTTCAGTACAGGTGTATGAGTAGCTGAGTTATTTCTAAGCATAGATGTGTAAGTGTAATGTC